ATTTTGGGTCCCTGGATGAATTTTGGCCTTGGGGTACATTTTGGGGTCCCTGGTGCATTTTTGGGGTGCTCTGGGTGTATTTTGGGTGCATTTTGGGGTGCTCTGGGTATAATCAGGGGTCTCTGGGTTGTATTTTGGGGTGATTTGGGTGGTTTTGGGGTACCTCTGCTCGGTCAGGGCCGTCCTGCTGAAGTGCAGGATGAGCTGCTGGGTTTGGGTGTATTTTGGGTGTATTTTGGGGTGCTCTGGGAATAATCAGGGGTCTCTGGGTTATATTTTGGGGTGATTTGGGTGTTTTTGGGGTACCTCTGCTCGGTCAGGGCCGTCCTGCTGAAGTGCAGGATGAGCTGCTGGGTTTGGGTGTGTTTTGGGGTGCTCTGGGTGCATTTTGGGGTGCTCTGGGTATATTTTGGGGTCTCTGGGTTGTATTTTGGGGTGATTTGGGTGTTTTTGGGGTACCTCTGCTCGGTCAGGGCCGTCCTGCTGAAGTGCAGGATGAGCTGCTGGGTTTGGGTGTATTTTGGGTGTGTCTGGGTGTATTTTGGGGTGCTCTGGGTGTATTTCAGGGTGATTTGGGTACATTTTGGGGTGATTTGGGTGTTTTTGGGGTACCTCTGCTCGGTCAGGGCCGTCCTGCTGAAGTGCAGGATGAGCTGCTGGGTTTGGGTGTATTTTGGGTGTGTTTGGGTGTATTTTGGGTGCATTTTGGGGTGCTCTGGGTGCATTTTGGGGTGCTCTGGGTACATTTTGGGGTCTCTGGGTTGTATTTTGGGGTGATTTGGGTGTTTTTGGGGTACCTCTGCTCGGTCAGGGCCGTCCTGCTGAAGTGCAGGATGAGCTGCTGGGTTTGGGTGTATTTGGGTGTGTTTTGGGGTCCCTGGGTTGTATTTTGGGGTCCCTGGGTTGTATTTTGGGGTGATTTGGGTGTTTTTGGGGTACCTCTGCTCGGTCAGGGCCGTCCTGCTGAAGTGCAGGATGAGCTGCTGGGTTTGGGTGTATTTTGGGTGCATTTTGGGGTGCTCTGGGTACATTTTAGGGTCCCTGGGGTATATTTTGGGGTCCCTGGGTTGTATTTTGGGGTGATTTGGGTGTTTTTGGGGTACCTCTGCTCGGTCAGGGCCGTCCTGCTGAAGTGCAGGATGAGCTGCTGGGTTTGGGTGTGTTTTGGGGTGCTCTGGGTGTATTTTGGGGTGCTCTGGGTATAATCAGGGGTCCCTGGGTTGTATTTTGGGGTGATTTGGGTGTGTTTCAGGTACCTCTGCTCGGTCAGGGCCGTCCTGCTGAAGTGCAGGATGAGCTGCTGGGTTTGGGTGTATTTTGGGTGTATTTTGGGGTGCTCTGGGTATAATCAGGGGTCTCTGGGTTGTATTTTGGGGTGATTTGGGTGTTTTTGGGGTACCTCTGCTCGGTCAGGGCCGTCCTGCTGAAGTGCAGGATGAGCTGCTGGGTTTGGGTGTATTTTGGGTGTATTTTGGGTGTGTTTGGGTGTATTTTGGGGTGCTCTGGGTATATTTCAGGGTGATTTCTGTACATTTTGGGGTGATTTGGGTGTTTTTGGGGTACCTCTGCTCGGTCAGGGCTGTCCTGCTGAAGTGCAGGATGAGCTGGTGCAGCGGGTCCGGCCTCGCCTCGGCCTCTTCCTCCTCCTCCTCCTCCTCCCGCCCCGACTTCTGCACCCACCCCCCAAAAAAAAAACCCAAACCCCTGTGGTCAGGGGGGTGTCCCCAATCCCAGGGGGTGTCCCCAAGGTGTCCCCAAGGCCCGTGGGGGGTGTGGGCTCACCGAGAGGTCGTCGATCATGCGGTCCTCGAAGGGTGGGCGCTCCCGGCCCAGCCAGGACAGCCGGTACGACTCGAGGAACATGTTACAGGCTCGGTGCCTGGGGGGACATTGTCACCTCATTGTCACCTCAGTGTCACCTCATTGTCACCTGGGGACACTGGGGGCATTGGGGACACCTGGGGGGTCACAGGGGACACCTCCTGGTACGACTCGAGGAACTGTTACAGGCTCGGTGTCTGGGGGGACATTGTCACCTCACTGTCACCTCATTGTCACCTCATTGTCACCTCACTGTCACCTCATTGTCACCTCAGTGTCACCCCATTGTCACCTCATTGTCACCTCACTGTCACCTCATTGTCACTGCATTGTCACCTCATTGTCACCCCACTGTCACCTCATTGTCACCTCATTGTCACCTCACTGTCACCTCAGTGTCACCTCATTGTCACCTCAGTGTCACTGCATTGTCACCCCATTGTCACCCCATTGTCACCTCAGTGTCACCTCATTGTCACCTCATTGTCACCTCACTGTCACCTCATTGTCACTGCATTGTCACCTCAGTGTCACTGCATTGTCACCCATTGTCACCCCATTGTCACCCCATTGTCACCCCATTGTCACCTCAGTGTCACTGCATTGTCACCCCATTGTCACCCCATTGTCACCTCAGTGTCACCTCATTGTCACCTCATTGTCACCTCACTGTCACCTCATTGTCACTGCATTGTCACCTCAGTGTCACTGCATTGTCACCCCATTGTCACCCCATTGTCACCCCATTGTCACCCCATTGTCACCTCAGTGTCACTGCATTGTCACCCCATTGTCACCCCATTGTCACCTCAGTGTCACCTCATTGACACCCCATTGTCACCTCATTGTCACCTCAGTGTCACCTCATTGTCACCTCATTGTCACCTCATTGTCACCTCACTGTCACCCCATTGTCACCTGGGGGCACCTGGGGGGACCTGGGGGCATTGGGGACACCTGGGGGGTCACTGGGGACACCTCCTGGTACGACTCGAGGAACATGTTACAGGCTCGGTGTCTGGGGGGACATTGTCACCTCATTGTCACCTCAGTGTCACCTGGGGACACCTGGGGGCACTGGGGACACCTGGGGGGGTCACAGGGGACACCTCCCGGCCCAGCCAGGACAGCCGGTACGACTCGAGGAACATGTTACAGGCTCGGTGTCTGGGGGGACATTGTCACCTCATTGTCACCTCATTGTCACCTCAGTGTCACCTCATTGTCACCTGGGGGCACCTGGGGGCACCTGGGGGCATTGGGGACACCTGGGGGGGTCACTGAGGACACCTCCTGGTACGACTCGAGGAACTGTTACAGGCTCGGTGCCTGGGGGGACATTGTCACCTCATTGTCACCTCATTGTCACCCCATTGTCACCTCATTGTCACCTCACTGTCACCTCACTGTCACCTCATTGCCACCTCATTGTCACCTCATTGTCACCCCATTGTCACCTCACTGTCACCCCATTGTCACTTCATTGTCACCTCATTGTCACCTCATTGTCACCTCACTGTCACCTCATTGTCACCTCATTGTCACCTCATTGTCACCTCAGTGTCACCTCAGTGTCACCTCAGTGTCACCTCATTGTCACCTCATTGTCACCTCACTGTCACCTCACTGTCACCTCATTGTCACCCCATTGTCACCTCAGTGTTACCTCATTGTCACCTCATGGGCACCTCAGTGTCACCTCAGTGTCACCTCATTGTCACCTCACTGTCACCTCATTGTCACCTCAGTGTCACCTCATTGTCACCTCATTGTCACCTCACTGTCACCTCATGGAGACCTCATTGTCACCTCATTGGCACCTCATTGTCACCTCATTGTCACCTCACTGTCACCTCATTGTCACCTGGGGACACCTGGGGGCATTGGGGACACCTGGGGGGTCACAGGGGACACCTCCTGGTACGACTCGAGGAACATGTTACAGGCTCGGTGTCTGGGGGGACATTGTCACCTCAGTGTCACCTCAGTGTCACCTCATGAGCACCTGGGGACACCTGGGGACATTGGGGACACCTGGGGGGGTCACAGGGGACACCTCCCGGCCCAGCCAGGACAGCCGGTACGACTCGAGGAACATGTTACAGGCTCGGTGCCTGGGGGGACATTGTCACCTCATTGTCACCTCATTGTCACCTCAGTGTCACCCCATTGTCACCTCAGTGTCACCTGGGGACACCTGGGGGCATTGGGGACACCTGGGGGGGACACTGGGGACACCTCCTGGTACGACTCGAGGAACTGTTACAGGCTCGGTGTCTGGGGGGACATTGTCACCTCACTGTCACCTCAGTGTCACCTCAGTGTCACCCCATTGTCACCTCATGGGGACCTCAGTGTCACCTGGGGGCATTGGGGACACCTGGGGGGTCACTGGGGACACCTCCTGGTACGACTCGAGGAACTGTTACAGGCTCGGTGTCTGGGGGGACATTGTCACCTCATTGTCACCTCATTGTCACCCCATTGTCACCTCATTGTCACCTCATTGTCACCTCACTGTCACCTGGGGACACCTGGGGGCATTGGGGACACCTGGGGGGGTCACTGGGGACACCTCCTGGTACGACTCGAGGAACATGTTACAGGCTCGGTGTCTGGGGGGACATTGTCACCTCATTGTCACCTCATTGTCACCTCACTGTCACCTGGGGACACCTGGGGGCATTGGGGACACCTGGGGGGTCACTGGGGACACCTCCCGGCCCAGCCAGGACAGCCGGTGACTCGAGGAACTGTTACAGGCTCGGTGTCTGGGGGGACATTGTCACCTCAGTGTCACCTCATTGTCACCCCATTGTCACCTCACTGTCACATCATTGTCACCTCAGTGTCACCTCAGTGTCACCTCATTGTCACCTCAGTGTCACCTCATTGTCACCTCATTGTCACCTCAGTGTCACCTCATTGTCACCTCACTGTCACCTCAGTGTCACCTCAGTGTCACCTCATTGTCACCTCAGTGTCACCTCATTGTCACCTCATGGGGACCTCACTGTCACCTGGGAGCATTGGGGACACCTGGGGGGGTCACTGGGGACACCTCTTGTCCCATCCTAAAGCAGGGCCCAGTGACCCCATTAACCCCCCCCAGTGACCCCATTAACCCCCAGTGACCCCATTAACCCCCCCAGTCCCACCTGGGCAGGTTGTACAGGGGGGTCATCCTAAAACAGGCCCCCAGTGACCCCAGTAACCCCCCCAGTGCTCCCAGTCCCACCTGGGCAGGTTGTAGAGGGGGGTCATCCTAAAGCAGGCCCCCAGTGACCCCAGTAACCCCCAGTGACCCCCCCAGTGCTCCCAGTCCCACCTGGGCAGGTTGTACAGGGGGGTCATCCTAAACAGGCCCCAGTGACCCCAGTAACCCCCAGTGCCCCAGTCCCACCTGGGCAGGTTGTACGGGGGTCATCCTAAAACAGGCCCCCAGTGACCCCAGTAACCCCCAGTAACCCCCAGTCCCACCTGGGCAGGTTGTACAGGGGGTCATCCTAAAACAGGCCCCCAGTGACCCCAGTAACCCCCAGTAACCCCCAGTCCCACCTGGGCAGGTTGTACAGGGGGGTCATCCTAAAACAGGCCCCCAGTGACCCCAGTAACCCCCAGTAACCCCCAGTAACCCCCCAGTCCCACCTGGGCAGGTTGTACAGGGGGGTCATCCTAAAACAGGCCCCCAGTAACCCCCCAGTGACCCCATTAACCCCCCCAGTCCCACCTGGGCAGGTTGTACAGGGGGTCATCCTAAAACAGGCCCCCAGTGACCCCTAGTAACCCCCAGTAACCCCCAGTGCTCCCAGTCCCACCTGGGCAGGTTGTACAGGGGGGTCATCCTAAAACAGGCCCCAGTGACCCCAGTAACCCCCAGTGACCCCATTAGTGCCCCCAGTCCCACCTGGGCAGGTTGTACAGGGGGGTCATCCTAAAACAGGCCCCAGTGACCCCATTAACCCCCAGTGACCCCATTAACCCCCCCAGTGACCCCAGTAACCCCCAGTAACCCCCCCAGTCCCACCTGGGCAGGTTGTACAGGGGGGTCATCCTAAAACAGGCCCCCAGTGACCCCATTAACCCCCAGTAACCCCCAGTAACCCCCAGTCCCACCTGGGCAGGTTGTACAGGGGGTCATCCTAAAACAGGCCCCAGTGACCCCATAACCCCATTAACCCCCAGTAGCCCCCAGTCCCACCTGGGCAGGTTGTAGAGGGGGGTCATCCTAAAACAGGCCCCCAGTGACCCCATTAACCCCCAGTTACCCCATTAACCCTCCCAGTGACCCCATTAACCCCCAGTAACCCCCAGTCCCACCTGGGCAGGTTGTACAGGGGGGTCATCCTAAAACAGGCCCCAGTAACCCCCAGTGACCCCATTAACCCCCCAGTGACCCATTAACCCCCAGTAACCCCCCAGTCCCACCTGGGCAGGTTGTACAGGGGGGTCATCCTAAAACAGGCCCCCAGTGACCCCAGTAACCCCCAGTGACCCCATTAACCCTCCAGTGACCCCATTAACCCCATAACCCCAGTCCCACCTGGGCAGGTTGTACAGGGGTCATCCTAAAACAGGCCCCAGTGACCCCATTAACCCCCAGTGACCCCATTAACCCCAGTGACCCCAGTAACCCCCAGTCCCACCTGGGCAGGTTGTACAGGGGGTCATCCTCAAACAGGCCCCAGTGACCCCATTAACCCCAGTGACCCCAGTAACCCTCCCAGTGACCCCATTAACCCCCAGTAACCCCCAGTCCCACCTGGGCAGGTTGTACAGGGGGGTCATCCTAAAACAGGCCCCCAGTGACCCCATTAACCCCCAGTAACCCCCCCAGTGCTCCCAGTCCCACCTGGGCAGGTTGTACAGGGGGGTCATCCTAAAACAGGCCCCAGTGACCCCAGTAACCCCCAGTAACCCCAGTCCCACCTGGATGCAGGTTGTACAGGGGGTCATCCTAAAACAGGCCCCTAGTGACCCCATTAACCCCCCCAGTGCTCCCAGTCCCACCTGGGCAGGTTGTACAGGGGGGTCATCCTAAAACAGGCCACCACCGCCCGGCGCCGCTGCTTGGACAGGAGTTTGTGCCACACGGCCTTCTTGGACTTGTAGGGGTGCTCTGTCTGTGGGGGGGGGTGGATTGGAGGGCTCAGTGGGCACCCCGGGGACCCTCCAGACCCCCCACAATCCCAGAATATCCCCCCGGGACCCTCCAGACCCCCCAGAACCCCCCCAATCCCAGGACACCCCTGGGAGCCCCCTGGGATCTCCCCAGAGGCTGCTGGAGAGGCTAGGACCCCAAACCGCAGGACCCCTGGAGCCCCAAATCCCCTGACCCCAAAAGCCTCCCGAGACCCTTAACCCCTTGGGACCCACCAGGGCTCCCAAATCTCCCTGGGACCCCACAAATCACCCTCCCAGCCCCAGACCCGCCAGGTGGTAGAGCCGCCGACACCTCCTGCACCCTGGGACCCAAATCCCTGGAGCCCCAGGCCCCACCCAGGGACCCCCAGGACCCAAACCCCTGGGACCCCCAAATCCCAGGATCCCCAAATCCCCCAGACCTGCTCGAGGTGGTAGAGGCACGGCCGACACCTCCTGCACCCTGGGACCCCAAACCCCTGGGACCCCCCCTGGACCCCCTAGACCCCCAGACCCTGGGAGCCCCAACCCCTGGGACCCCCAAATCCCCAGGACCCCAGATCCCCCAGACCTGCTCGAGTGGTAGAGCACGGCCGACACCTCCTGCACCCTGGGACCCCAAAACCCCCTGGGAGCCCCCAGGGACCCCAAACCCCTGGACCCCAGGACCCCAAACCCCTGGGACCCCCAATCCCAGGACCCCAAATCCCCCCAGACCTGCTCGAGGTGGTAGAGCACGGCTGACACCTCCTGCACCCCTGGGACCCCAAAACCCCCTGGGAGCCCCCAAATCCCTAGAAGCCCCAGGGACCCCCAAATCCCCTGGGAGCCCCCAAATCCCCTGGGAGCCCCAAATTTCCCCAGGACCCCCAGATCCCCCCAGACCTGCTCGAGGTGGTAGAGCACGGCCGACACCTCCTGCACCCCTGGGACCCCAAAACCTCCTGGGAGCCCCAGGACCCCCAACCCCCCAGGGACCCCCAAACACCCTGGGAACCCCCAGGACCCCCAAACCCCCTGGGACCCCCAAATCCCCCAGGACCCCCAAATCCCCCAGACCTGCTCGAGGTGGTAGAGCACGGCCGACACCTCCTGCACCCCTGGGACCCCAAAACCTCCTGGGAGCCCCCAAATCCCCTGGAACCCCCCAGGGACCCCCAAACCCCCTGGGACCCCCAAATCCCCAGGGACCCCCAAATCCCCCCCAGACCTGCTCGAGGTGGTAGAGCACGGCCGACACCTCCTGCACCCTCCGGACCACCTTGTCGGGGGTGTCGGGGTCCTCGTCCCGCCCCGCCTGGCGCACCAGGGCCATCTGCCAGCGAGCTGAGCCCGTGTTCTCCACCTGGGGGACATTGGGGACACCCCTGGGGACACAGGGCCATCTGCCAGCGAGCTGAGCCCGTGTTCTCCACCTGGGGGGACATTGGGACACCCCTGGGGACACCCTGGGGACACCCTGGGGACACCCTGGGGACACAGGGCCATCTGCCAGCGAGCTGAGCCCGTGTTCTCCACCTGGGGCACATTGGGACACCTTGGGGACATTGGGGACACCCCCTGAGGACACCCCTAGGGACCACCCTGCAGCGAGCTGAGCCCGTGTTCTCCACCTGGGGACACTTGGGGACACCTTGGGGACACCCTGGGGACACCCCTGGGGACACAGGGCCATCTGCCAGCGAGCTTGAGCCGTGTTCTCCACCTGGGGACATTGGGGACACCCCTGGGACATTGGGGACACCTGGGGACACAGGGCCATCTGCCAGCGAGCTGAGCCCGTGTTCTCCACCTGGGGGACATTGGGGACACCTTGGGGACACCCCTGGGGACACCCCTGGGGACACAGGGCCATCTGCCAGCGAGCTGAGCCCGTGTTCTCCACCTGGGGGACATTGGGGACACCCCTGGGGACATTGGGGACACCCCTGGGGACACCCCTGGGGACATTGGGGACACCCCTGGGGACATTGGGACACCGTGGTCACACCTGGGGACATTGGGGACACCTTGGGGACACCTGGGGACACCCCTGAGGGACACAGGGCCATCTGCCAGCGAGCTGAGCCCGTGTTCTCCACCTGGGGGACATTGGGGACACCTTGGGGACATTGGGGACACCCTGGGACATGGGGACACCCTGGGGACATTGGGGACACCCCTGGGGACACAGGGCCATCTGCCAGCGAGCTGAGCCCGTGTTCTCCACCTGGGGGACATTGGGGACACCTTGGGGACACCCTGGGGACACCTGGGGACACCCTGGGGACACAGGGCCATCTGCCAGCGAGCTGAGCCCGTGTTCTCCACCTGGGGGACATTGGGGACACCTTGGGGACATTGGGGACACCCCTGGGGACATTGGGGACACCCTGGGACACCCCTGGGGACACAGGGCCATCTGCCAGCGAGCTGAGCCCGTGTTCTCCACCTGGGGACATTGGGACACCTTGGGGACACTCCTGGGGACACTGGGGACACCTGGGACACCCTGGGGACATTGGGGACACCCTGGGGACACAGGGCCATCTGCCAGCGAGCTGAGCCCGTGTTCTCCACCTGGGGACATTGGGGACACCTTGGGGACACCCTGGGGACACCCTGACAGGGCCATCTGCCAGCGAGCTGAGCCCGTGTTCTCCACCTGGGGACATTGGGGACACCTTAGGGATTCACTCCTGGGGACACTGGGACATCTGGGGACACCCCTGGGGACATTGGGGACACCCTGGGGACATTGGGGACACCCTGGGGACACCCCTGGGACACCCTGGGACACAGGGCCATCTGCCAGCGAGCTGAGCCCGTGTTCTCCACCTTGGGGACATTGGGGACATTGGGGACACCCCTGGGGACACCCTGGGGACATTGGGGACACCCTGGGGACACAGGGCCATCTGCCAGCGAGCTGAGCCCGTGTTCTCCACCTGGGGGACATTGGGGACACCCTGGGGACACCCCTGGGGACACCCTGGGGACACCCCTGGGGACACAGGGCCATCTGCCAGCGAGCTGAGCCCGTGTTCTCCACCTGGGGGACATTGGGGACACCCCTGGGGACATTGGGGACACCCCTGGGGACATTGGGGACACCTTGGGGACACCCCTGGGGACACCCCTGGGGACACAGGGCCATCTGCCAGCGAGCTGAGCCCGTGTTCTCCACCTGGGGACATTGGGGACACCTTGGGGACACCTTTGGGACGCCTTGGGGACACCATGGGGACATTGGGGACACCTTGGGGACATTGGGGACACCCTGGGGACACCCCTGGGGACACAGGGCCATCTGCCAGCGAGCTGAGCCCGTGTTCTCCACCTGGGGACATTGGGGACACCTTGGGGACATTGGGGACACCTTGGGGACATTGGGGACATTGGGGACACCCCTGGGGACATTGGGGACACCCCTGGGGACACCCCTGGGGACACAGGGCCATCTGCCAGCGAGCTGAGCCCGTGTTCTCCACCTGGGGGGACATTGGGGACACCCCTGGGGACATTGGGGACACCTTGGGGACACCTTGGGGACACCCTGGGGACATTGGGGACACCCTGGGGACACCCCTGGGGACACAGGGCCATCTGCCAGCGAGCTGAGCCCGTGTTCTCCACCTGGGGGGACATTGGGGACACCCCTGGGGACACCCCTGGGGACACCCTGGGGACATTGGGGACACCCCTGGGGACACAGGGCCATCTGCCAGCGGGCTGAGCCCGTGTTCTCCACCTGGGGGACATTGGGGACACCTTGGGGACATTGGGGACACCTTGGGGACACCCCTGGGGACACAGGGCCATCTGCCAGCGAGCTGAGCCCGTGTTCTCCACCTGGGGACATTGGGGACATTGGGGACACCTTGGGGACACCCCTGGGGACACCCCTGGGGACACAGGGCCATCTGCCAGCGAGCTGAGCCCGTGTTCTCCACCTGGGGGACATTGGGGACACCTTGGGGACATTGGGGACACCCCTGGGGACACCCCTGGGGACACCCCTGGGGACACCCCTGGGGACACAGGGCCATCTGCCAGCGAGCTGAGCCCGTGTTCTCCACCTGGGGGACATTGGGGACACCTTGGGGACACCCCTGGGGACACCCCTGGGGACACCCCTGGGGACACAGGGCCATCTGCCAGCGAGCTGAGCCCGTGTTCTCCACCTTGGGGACATTGGGGACACCCTTGGGGACACCCTGGGGACACCCCTGGGGACACCCCTGGGGACACCCCTGGGGACACCTTGGGGACACCCCTGGGGACACAGGGCCATCTGCCAGCGGGCTGAGCCCGTGTTCTCCACCTGGGGGACATTGGGGACACCTTGGGGACATTGGGGACATTGGGGACACCCCTGGGGACACAGGGCCATCTGCCAGCGAGCTGAGCCCGTGTTCTCCACCTGGGGGACATTGGGGACACCCCTGGGGACATTGGGGACACCCCTGGGGACACCCTGGGGACACCTTGGGGACATTGGGGACACCTTGGGGACATTGGGGACATTGGGGACACCCCTGGGGACATTGGGGACACCCCTGGGGACACCCCTGGGGACACAGGGCCATCTGCCAGCGAGCTGAGCCCGTGTTCTCCACCTGGGGGACATTGGGGACACCCCTGGGGACACCCCTGGGGGACATTGGGGACACCTTGGGGACACCCCTGGGGACATTGGGGACACCCCTGGGGACACTGGTGGCCCCCAGGGGACACTGGGGACATTGGTGGCCCCCTGGGGACACTGGTGGCCCCCAGGGGACATTGGGGACACCCCTGGGGACACCCCTGGGGCGGTGCCACCCACCTTGCCCTGCAGGTGCAGGTTGTTGTGCAGGAACTCCCGAACCTCCTCGTCCGTGTCCTTCTGCAGGGGGGGAGGGGGACACACAGGGGACACCTCAGGGGGGGCCCAGGGGGTGTCCCCAAACCCCGGGAGTGTCCCCAAACCCCAAGGGGTGTCCCCAAACCCTGGAAATGACCCCAAACCCTGGGGATGTCCCCAAACCCCCCTTCCTCACCCACCCTTGTCCCTTGGCCAGGGCGATGTCCCCAAGCCCAGGGGTTTGTCCCTGAGCCCAGGGGGGGTGTTGGGGGTCTCTGGGGGGTTCTGGGGATCCCAGGGGGGTCTCAGGGGGTCCCAGGGGGTCTCCCCACGACCCACCAGGGCGTATCTGCCCTTGGCCAGGGCGATGTCCCCAAGCCCAGGGGTTTGTCCCTGAGCCCAGGGGGGGTTTTGTGGATCCCTGGGGGGGTTTTGGGGATCCCAGGGGGGTTTTGGGGATCCCAGGGTGGTTTTGTGGATCCCGGGGGTTGTGTATCCAGGGGGTTTTGGGGTCCCAGGGGGTCCCAGGGGTCTCCCACGACCCACCAGGGCGTATCTGCCCTGGCCAGGGCGATGTCCCCAAGCCCAGGGGGTTTTGGGGATCCCGGGAGATGTTGGAGATCCTGAGGGAGTTTGAGGATCCCGGGGGTTTGGGGATCCCGGGGGTCTCAGGGGGTCTCCCCACGACCCACCAGGGCGTATCTGCCCTTGGCCAGGGCGATGTCCCCAAGCCCAGGGGGGGTTTGAGGATCCCAGGGAGGGGTTTTGTGGATCCCAGGGTGGTTTTGGGGATCCCAGGGGGGGGGTTGGGGATCCCAGGGGTTTGTGGATCCCAGGGGGTTTTGGGGATCCTGGGGTGGTCTCAGGGGGTCTCCCCACGACCCACCAGGGCGTATCTGCCCTTGGCCAGGGCGATGTCCCCAAACCCAGGGGTCGTGTTGGGGGTTCCAGGGGAGTTTTGGGGATCCCGGAGGGGGTTTGGGGATCCTGGGGTGGTTTTGGGGATCCTGGGGGGGTTTTGGGGATCCCGGGGGGGTCCCAGGGGGGCTCCCCATGACCCACCAGGGCGTATCTGCCCTTGGCCAGGCGATGTCCCCAAGCCCAGGGAGGGTGTTGGGGATCCAGGGGAGTTTGGGGATCCCAGGGGGGTTTGTGGATCCAGGGGGTTTTGGGGATCCTGGGGGTCCCAGGGGGCTCCACGACCCACCAGGGCGTATCTGCCCTTGGCCAGGGCGATGTCCCCAAGCCCAGGGGTCATGTTGGGGATTCCGGAGGGGTCTCAGGGGGTCCCGAGGGGGTTTGAGGATCCCAGGGGGGATTTTGGGGATCCCAGGGGGGTCCCAGGGGGGCTCCCCACGACCCACCAGGGCGTATCTGCCCTTGGCCAGGGCGATGAGCTCCTGGTCGGCGGGGGAGCACATGTTGAGGCCGATGGGCAGCATCTTCTTCAGCGTGGCCACGATGAGCGAGGTGTGGACCGAGTAACGATCGCCCCGGCGCCGCTTCTTGGAGCGCTCCTGGTCAGAGCCAGCCCCCTGGGGACAGGGACAGGGACAGGGACAGGGGGGTGTCACTGCTGGGACCCCCCAAGGAACATGGGGAGGGGTCAGTTCTGACCCCCCCAAGGGGTGTGCACCGAGTAGCGATCGCCCCGGCGCCGCTTCTTGGAGCGCTCCTGGTCAGAGCCAGCCCCTGGGGACAGGGACAGGGATCGGCACTGTGGGACCCCCAGGGACAGGGGGACAGGGGGGTGTCACTGCTGGGACCCCCCAAAGGACAGGGGGACACGGGGAGGGGTCAGTTCTGACCCCCCCAAGGGGTGTGCACCGAGTAGCGATCGCCCCGGCGCCGCTTCTTGGAGCGCTCCTGGTCAGAGCCAGCCCCCTGGGGACAGGGATATGGCACTGCTGGGACCCCCAGGGACACAGGGACAGGGGGGTGTCACTGCTGGGACCCCCCAAGGGACACAGGGACATGGGGAGGGGTCAGTTCTGATCCCCCCAAGGGGTGTGCACCGAGTAACGATCGCCCCGGCGCCGCTTCTTGGAGCGCTCCTGGTCCGAGCCAGCCCCTGGGGACAGGGACAGGGGGGGATCAGCTCTGACTGACCCCCCTGGGGACAGGGGGACACGGGGTGTCACTGCTGGGACCCCCCCAGGGACACGGGTCCCCCAGATCAGGACACCCCGGTTTGGTTTTGGGGGATCCGAGGTGCAGTGACCCCAAAAAATAGGATCCATGTGGGGTTTTGGGGGTCCCAGGTGTGGTGGTCCCCACAGATCAGGACCCCCAGGTTTGGTTTTGGGGGTCCCAGGTGCGGTGACCCCACAGATCAGGACACCCAGGTGGGGTTTTGGGGGGTCCCAGGTGTGGTGACCCCAAAAAACAGGACCCCCGGGTTTGATTTGGGGGGTCCCAGGTGCAGTGACCCCAAAAAACAGGATCCTGGGGGGGTTTTGGGGGTCCCAGGTGTGATGACCCCACAGATCAGGATCCTCAGGTTTGGTTTTTGGGGGTCCCAGGTGTGGTGGTCCCCACAGATCAGGACCCCCACGTTTGATTTTGGGGGGTCCCAGGTGTGGTGACCCCACAGATCAGGACCCCAGGTTTGGTTTTGGGGGTCCCAGGTGCAGTGACCCCAAAAAACAGGACCCCCTGGAGTGGTTTTTGGGGGGTCCCAGGTGTGTCCCCACAGATGAGGACCCCCAGGTGGGGTTTTGGGGGGTCCCAGGTGCAGTGACCCCACAGAACAGGATCCAGGTGGGGTTTTTGGGGGTCCCAGGTGTGATGACCCCACAGATCAGGACCCCCAGGTGGGGTTTTTGGGGGTCCCAGGTGTGATGACCCCACAGATCAGGACCCCCAGGTTTGATTTTGGGGGTCCCAGGTGCAGTGACCCCAAAAAACAGGACCCTGGAGGGGTTTTTGGGGGGTCCCAGGTGTGATGACCTCACAGATCAGGACCCCCAGGTGGGGTTTTAGGGGGTCCCAGGTGTGCTGTCCCCACAGATCAGGACTCCCAGGAGGGTTTTTGGGGGTCCCAGGTGTGATGACCCCACAGATCAGGACCCCAGGTTTGATTTTGGGGTCCCAGGTGTGATGACCCCACAGATCAGGACCCCCAGGTGGGGTTTTAGGGGGTCCCAGGTGTGATGACCCCACAGATCAGGACCCCCAGGTGGGGTTTTTGGGGGTCCCAGGTGCAGTGACCCCAAAAAACAGGACCCAGGTGGGGTTTTTGGGGGTCCCAGGTGTGTCCCCACAGATCAGGACCCCCAGGTGGGGTTTTTGGGGGTCCCAGGTGTGGTGACCCCACAGATCAGGACCCCCAGGTGGGGTTTTTGGGGGTCCCAGGTGTGACCCCACAGATCAGGACCCCCAGGTTTGGTTTTGGGGGGTCCCAGGTGTGATGACCCCACAGAACAGGATCCTCAGGTTTGATTTTGGGGGTCCCAGGTGTGATGACCCCACAGATCAGGACCCCCAGGTTTGGTTTTTGGGGGGTCCTGGCCGTGGTGGCCCCGTGTTTTGGGTTCCCCTGGCGCAGTTTGGGGGTCCCAGCCCTGGTGACTCCCTGGGGGTCCTGGGGACCCCTGGCCCCCCATCCCCTCCCCCGCTAACCTGTCCATCTCCAGACTGGGAACAGCACCCGGAGCCGAGGGGGAGAGAAGAGACAGAGTTAGGGACCCCAGGGCAGGAATGGGGTCTGGGGGCAGGGAATGGGGTTTGGGGGGCAGGAATGGGGTTTGGGGGGACAGGAATGGGGTTTGGGGGCAGGAATGGGGTTTGGGGGGGCAGGAATGGGGTTTGGGGGGCAGGAATGGGGTTTGGGGGGCAGGAATGAGGTTTGGGGGGCAGGAATGGGGTCTGGGGGGCAGGAATGGGGTCTGGGGGCAGGAATGGGATTTGGGGAGGCAGGAATGGGGTTTGGGGGGCAGGAATGGGGTCTGGGGGGCAGGAATGGGTCTGGGGGCAGGAATGGGGTTTGGGGGGGCAGGAATGGGGTTTGGGGAGGCAGGAATGGGATTTGGGGGGCAGGAATGGGGTCTGGGGGGTAGGAATGGGGTTTGGGGGGCAGGAATGGGGTTTGGGGGGCAGAAATGGGGTCTAGGGGGTAGGAACAGGGTTTGGGGGGGCAGGAATGGGATTTGGGGGAACAGGAACAGGGTTTGGGGGGCAGGAATGGGGTCTAGGGGGCAGGAATGAGGTTTGGGGGGGCAGGAATGGGGTTTGGGGGGGCAGGAATGGGGTTTGGGGGGCAGGAATGGGGTTTGGGGGGCAGGAATGGGATTTGGGGGGCAGGAATGGGATTTGGGGGGCAGGAATGGGGGTTTGGGGGGGCAGGAATGGGATTTGGGGGCAGGAATGGGGTTTGGGGGCAGGAATGGGGTTGGGGGGCAGGAATGGGGTCTAGGGGGACAGGAATGGGATTTGAGGGGCAGGAATGGGATTTGGGGGGGCAGGAATGGGATTTGGGGGGCAGGGATGGGATTTGGGGGGCAGGAATGGGGTTTGGGGGGCAGGAATGGGGTCTGGGGGCAGGAATGGGGTTTGGGGGGCAGGAATGGGGTCTAGGGGGCAGGAATGGGGTTTGGGGGGCAGGAATGAGATTTGGGGGCAGGAATGGGGTTTGGGGGGGCAGGAATGGGGTCTGGGGGGGCAGGAATGGGGTCTGGGGGGCAGGAATGAGGTTTGGGGGGCAGGAATGGGATTTGGGGGCAGGAATGGGATTTGGGGGGCAGGAATGGGGTTTGGGGGGCAGGAATGGGATTTGGGGGCAGGAATGGGGTTTGGGGGGCAGGAATGGGGTTGGGGGGCAGGAATGGGGTCTGGGGGGCAGGAGGGAGGAGATGGGGAGTTTTGGGGGGGTTTGAGGGGGCTGGGGGTTCAGGTGGGATGGAGACCAGCAGGTTGGGTGGGTTTTGGGGTCTCAGGTGGGTTTTGGGGTCCCAGGTTTGGGTTTTTGGGATGGTTTTGGGGTCCTGGGTGGGTTTTGGGGTACCAGGGTTGGGTTTTTAGGATGGTTTGGGGGTCACAGGAGGGTTGGGGGTCTCAGGTGGGTTTTGGGGTACCAGGGTTGGGTTTTTGGGATGGTTTGGGGGTCCTGGGTGGGTTTTGGGGTCCTGGGTGGGTTTTGGGGTCCCAGGGTTGGGTTTTTGGGATGGTTTGGGGGTCTCAGGTGGGTTTTGGGGTCCCAGGTTTGGGTTTTTGGGATGTTTGGGGGTCCTGGGTGGGTTTTGGGGTACCAGGGTTGGGTTTTTGGGGTGGTTTGGGGGTCTCAGGTGGGTTTTGGGGTCCTGAGTGGGTTTTAGGGTCCCAGGTTTGGGTTTTTAGGATGGTTTGGGGGTCCCAGGAGGGTTGGGGGTCTCAGGTGGGTTTTGGGGTCCCGAGTGGGTTTTAGGGTACCAGGGTTGGGTTTTTGGGGATGGTTTGGGGGTCACAGGGGGGTTGGGGGTCTCAGGTGGGTTTTAGGGTCCCAGGGTTGGGTTTTTAGGATGGTTTGGGGGTCACAGGTGGGTTGGGGATCCTGAGTGGGTTTTGGGGTACCAGGGTTGGGTTTTTGGGGTGGTTTGGGGGTCCCGGGTGGGTTCAGGGTTACTTTTGGGGGGGTTGGGGGAGTTGGGTGGGATGGAGAGCAGAGGGTTGGGGGTCCCATGGGCAGGGGCACATTTGGGGTCTCTTGGGGTGCAGTTTGGGGGCGCAGTTTGGGCTCTCTTGGGGTGCAGTTTGGGGTCTCCAGGGGTGCAGTTTGGGGTCTCTTGGGGTGCAGTTTGGGGTCTCTGGGGGTGCAGTTTGGGGCCACTTGGGGTGCAGTTTGGGGGCACAATTTGGGCTCTCTGGGGGCACAATTTGGGGTCCCTGTGGGGCGCAGTTTGGGGGTCCCACCTTGGCCATCTTGCTCTTGCTGTCGGCCGTCAGGAAGCTCATGTTGTTGATCTCGTTCTGCACCACAAAGTTCTGCTCCTCACGCTTGAAGTTCTGCCAGGGGGGACAGAAACACACACAGAGGGGTGAGGGAACCCCCAAAAAGACCCCAGGACCCCCCCAGGACCCCCCCAGAGCCCCCCAACTCACGTGGGACTTGGACCAGAGGATGAAGACCTCGCCCACCATGCGGAACAGCTCCTCGGCGTCCTCGTTGGGCTCCGTCAGCCACCCCGCCCTGGGGACAGCAGGGACACCGGGGGCACTGTCAGTGGGTCACGGGGTCCCCACGGCCCCCCATGGCCCCCATGGCCCCCTTGTGCCCCCATGGCCCCCCATGTCCCCCATGCCCCCATACCTGCTGTTGTCCACATAGTGGATGAGTAGGGGTACAGGTCCCCATGTGTCCCCCATGTCCCCCCATGTCCCCACATGTCCCCATGTCCCCCATGCCCCCCACGCCCCCTGACCTGCTGTTGTCCACGTGGCGGATGAGCAGGGGTACAGGTCCCCATGTGTCCCCATGTCCCCCATGTCCCCCACATGTCCCCATGCCCCCTGTGTCCCCATGTCCCCCACATGTCCCCATGTCCCCCCATGTCCCCCGTGTCCCCATGTCCCCACATGTCCCCATATCCCCCACACGTCCCCATGTCCCCCACGTGTCCCCATGTCCCTGCCATGTCCCCCATGTCCCCCATGTCCCCCCATGTCCCCCCATGGTCCCCCATGGTCCCCCGTGCCCCCATACCTGCTGTTGTCCACATAGTGGATGAGCAGAGTACAGGTCCCCATGTGTCCCCATGTGCCCCCATGTCCCCCCATGTCCCCCCCATGTCCCCATGTGCCCCCATACCTGCTGTTGTCCACGTAGCGGATGAGCAGGGGGTAGAGAGTGTACAGGTCCCCATGTCCCCCCATGAGTCCCCATGACCCTGTCATGTGTCCCCATGTCCCTGCCATGTGTCCCCATGTCCCCCTGTGTCCCCATGTCCCCCCATGTCCCCCATGCCCCCTGACCTGCTGTTGTCCACGTAGCGGATGAGCAGGGGGTAGAGGGCGTACAGGTCCCCATGTCCCCCCATGTCCCCACGTGTCCCCATGTCCCCCCATGTCCCCCGTGCCCCCATACCTGCTGTTGTCCAAGCAGCGGATGAGCAGGTGTAGAGTCCTCATGTGTCCCCCATGTGTCCCCATGTCCCTGTCATGTGTCCCCATGTCCCCCACGTGCCCCCATGAGTCCCCACATGTCCCCCACGTGTCCCCATGTCTCCCACATGTCCCCACGTGTCCCCACATGTCCCCCACGTGTCCCCACACCCCCCTGTGTCCCCATGGCCCCCATGTCCCCCATGTCCCCTCCACATCCCCTGACCTGCTGCTTGTCCACGCAGTGGAATGAGCAGGGGTACAGGTCCCCATGTGCCCCCACGTGTCCCCATGTCCCCCACGTGTCCCCATGTCCCCCATGTCCCCCATGTCCCCCCGTGCCCCCTGACCTGCTGTTGTCCACATAGTGGATGAGCAGGGTACAGGTCCCCATGTCCCCCATGAGTCCCCATGTCTCTGCCATGTGTCCCCATGTCCCCACATGTCCCCATGTCCCCCATGTCCCCCATGTCCCCCCATGCCCCCATGCCTGCTGTTGTCCACATAGTGGATGAGCAGGAGTACAGAGTCCCCATGTGTCCCCACGTGTCCCCATGTCCCCACGTGTCCCCATGTCCCCCCTGTGTCCCCATGTGTCCCCACATATCCCCATGTCCCCCACATGTCCCCATGTGCCCCCAAAGTGTCCCATGTCCCCCCATGTCCCCCCCCACTTCCCCATACCTGCTGTTGTCCACGTAGCGGATGAGCAGGGGGATAGGTCCCCATGTGTCCTCCACATGTCCCCATGTCCCCCATGGTCCCCCCATGCCCTCCTGACCTGCTGCTGTCCACGTGTGCGGATGAGCAGGGAGTAGAGGCGTAGAGGTCCCCATGTCCCCTACCATGAGTCCTCATGTCCCCACCCATGAGTCCCCATGTCCCCTGGTCCCCATGTCCCCCATGTCCCCCCACATGTCCCCCCACGCCCCCTGACCTGCTGTTGTCCACGTGGCGGATGAGGAGGGGGTAGAGGGTGTACAGGTCCCCATGTCCCCACCATGAGTCCCCATGTCCCTGTCATGTGTCTCAACGCCCCCCTCATGTCCCCCATGTCCCCCCACATGTCCCCATGTCCTCCCATGTCCCCTGTGCCCCCTGACCTGCTGTTGTCCACGTAGCAGATGAGCAGGGGGTAGAGGGCGTACAGGTCCCCATGTCCCCCCACATGTCCCCCCACATGTCCCCCCCATGTCCCCCTGTGCCCCCCATACCTGCTGTTGTCCACGTAGCGGATGAGCAGGGGGTAGAGGGCGTAGAGGTCCCTGCAGAGCACGGAGAACTCGTCCCTGATGAGCAGCTCGGCGTCCTCGCCCTCGGCCTTGCCCTCGAGCCGCAGCTGCTCCTCCTCGGCCACCACTTTACCCGCCCGCTTGCGCAGCCGGCCCAGCGTGGGGATGAAGTGAGAGCGCAGCAGCTCCGGACGAGCCTTGCTCACGATGGGCTGGGCAAACACTGAGGGGACATCAGGGACATCAGGGGACATCAGGGACATCAGGGACATCAGGGACACTGCTGTCCCCACTGGGACCACCCAGAGCCACCAGCACCCTCAGGGTGTGGGGATGAAGTGAGAGCGCAGCAGCTCCGGACGAGCCTTGCTCACGATGGGCTGGGCAAACACTGGGAGGGGACATCAGGGACATCAGGGACATCAGGGACACTGCTGTCCCCACTGGGACCACCCAGGGACATCAGGGACATCAGGGACACTGCTGTCCCCACTGGGAGCACCCAGGGACACTGCTGTCCCCAGTGGGATCACCCAGGGACACAGGGTGTGGGGATGAAGTGAGAGCGCAGCAGCTCCGGACGAGCCTTGCTCACGATGGGCTGGGCAAACACTGAGGGGACATCAGGGACATCAGGGACATCAGGGACACTGCTGGACCACCCAGGGACACTGCTGTCCCCACTGGGACCACCCAGAGCCACCAGCACCCTCAGGGTGTGGGGATGAAGTGAGAGCGCAGCAGCTCCGGACGAGCCTTGCTCACGATGGGCTGGGCAAACACTGAGGGGACATCAGGGACATCAGGGACATCAGGGACATCAGGGACACTGCTGGACCACCCAGGGACACTGCTGTCCCCATTGGGAGCACCCAGGGACACTGCTGTCCCCACTGGGACCACCCAGAGCCACCAGCACCCTCAGGGTGTGGGGATGAAGATGAGGCGCAGCAGCTCCGGACGAGCCTTGCTCACGATGGGCTGGGCAAACACTGAGGGGACATCAGGGACATCAGGGACATCATCAGGGACACTGCTGTCCCCACTGGGACCACCCAGGGACACTGCTGACCCCACTGGGACCACCCAGGGACACTGCTGTCCCCACTGGGACCACCCAGAGCCACCAGCACCCTCAGGGTGTGGGGATGAGGTGAGAGCGCAGCAGCTCCGGACGAGCCTTGCTCACGATGGGCTGGGCAAACACTGAGGGGACATCAGGGACATCAGGGACATCAGGGACACTGCTGGACCACCCAGGGACACTGCTGTCCCCACTGGGACCACCCAGGGACATCAGGGACATCAGGGACACTGCTGTCCCCACTGGGACCACCCAGAGCCACCAGCACCCTCAGGGACACTGGGGAACATCGACATCCCCATCAGGACCAGCCATGGCCACCTCCACCCCCTCTGTGACCACCCCTGGCCACCTCCACCCTGGGACCACCAAGGGCCACCCCCACCCCCTCTGTGACCGCCATCACCATCCTGGGACCACCCGTGGCCACCCCCCACTTTGTGACCCCCATCACCATCCTGAGATCACCCATGGCCACCTCCACTCCCTCTGTGACCACCCGTGGCCACCTCCATCCTGGGACCACCCAGGGCCACCATCACCATCCTGGGACCACCAAGGGCCACCTCCACCCCCTCTGTGACCACCCATGGCCACCTCCATCCTGGGACCACCCAGGGCCACCTCCATCCCCTTCAGGTCCACCCATGGCCACCCCCACCCCATTTGTGACCACCCATGGCCACCCCCACCCCATTTGTGACCACCCATGGCCACCTTCATCCTGGGACCACCAAGGGCCACTTCCACCCCCTCTGTGACCACCTGTGGCCAGCCTGGAACCACCTGTGGCCACCCCCACCCCCAGCATTTGTGACCCCCATCACCATCCTGGGACCACCTGTGGCCACCTCCACCCTATCTGTGACCCCCATTACTATCCTGGGACCACCCGTGGCCACCTCCACCCCCTTTGTGACCCCCATCACCATCCTGGGACCACCCAGGGCCACCATCACCCCTTTGTGACCCCCATTACCATCCTGGGACCACCCGGGGCCACTTCCACCCCCTTTGTGACCCCCATTACCATCCTGGGACCACCCAGGGCCACCATCGCCATCCTGGGACCACCCGTGGCCACCCCCACCCCCTCTGTGACCACCCGTGGCCACCCCCACCCCCAGCATTTGTGACCACCATCACCATCCTGGGACCACCCATGGCCACCATCGCCATCCTGGGACCACCCATGGCCACCTCCACCCTTTGTGACCACCATCACCATCCTGTGACCACCCATGGCCCACCCCATCCCGTGCCCCCCCTCACCCGCCAGCCTCTTCATCCAGGAGGCCTCGTCGATGCCCAGGTTGTTGACGACGATGCGCAGGATGTGTCCCAGCAGGGCGTTGAGGTGCTGGCCGGTGACGTTGGTGGCCCAGGGGCCCCGGGGGGCGGCGTCGGGGCCGCGCTCCCACCAGCGGGGCAGGTAATGGCACAGCATGGGCAGCGCCACCTCGATCACGTGCGGCATCTCCGTGTAGCGCGCGCCCGACTCCGCCAGGCCCCCGATGTCCCCCATCAGCCGCTCCAGGTCCGGCAGGTCCGGGCACAGCTCCTCCACTCGGCTGGGCAGGCCCAGGACTGAGGGGGGGACACCCAAAGGTTATGGGGGGCACCCACAGGGCATGGGGGGCACCCAAAGGTTATGGGGGGCACCCACAGGGCACAGCTCCTCCACTCGGCTGGGCAGGCCCAGGACTGAGGGGGGGACACCCAAAGGTTATGGGGGGCACCCACAGGGCATGGGGGGCACCCAAAGGGCACAGCTCCTCCACGCGGCTGGGCAGGCCCAAAACTGGGGGGAGAAGGGGTTATGGGGTCACCCACAGCATGGGGGGCACCCACAGGGCACAGCTCCTCCACTCGGCTGGGGAGGCCCAAAACTGGGGGGAGAAGGGGGTATGGGGTCACCCATGGTGTGGGGGGCATCCAAAGGGCATGGGGGACATCCACAGGGTATGGGGGGCACCCACAGGGCATGGGGCGCACCCACAGGGCACAGCTCCTCCACACGGCTGGGCAGGCCCAAAACTGGGCAGGGGGGACACCCAAAGGTTATGGGGGGCACCCACAGGGCATGGGGGGCACCCACAGGGCACAGCTCCTCCACACGGCTGGGGAGGCCCAGGACTGGGGGGGAGAAGGGGGTATGGGGTCACCCAAAGGGCATGGGGGGCACCCAAAGGGCATGGGGGGCACCCAAAGGGCACAGGGGATACCCACAGGGCATGGGGGACACCCACAGGGCACAGCTCCTCCACTCGGCTGGGCAGGCCCAAAACTGGGCAGGGGGGACACCCAAAGGTTATGGGGGGCACCCAGAGGGCACAGGGGATACCCCATGGCATGGGGGACACCCACAGGGCACAGCTCCTCCACTCGGCTGGGCAGGCCCAAAACTGGGGGGAGAAGGG